CAACTATATATATATATATATATATATATATATATATATATATATATATATATATATATATATATATATATATATATATATATATATATATATATATACATACATACATACGTAAATACATATATATATACATACAAAATACATGTATACATACAAAATACCCATATATATATACATATATATAAACACATATCTTCAATATGTATTCAACTGAGCTTATACCTACATCCATCCAAACAAGCACACAATTGCACTTGCACGAGTAGCGCTGACCTTTTTCTTGCGCGTGCCTGCTGCGGCACTGCCTGTCTTTGAAGCTGAGGGCTTCGGAGTGAGGGTGGCCGCAGCCGCCTCAATCTTGGGAGGAGCTACTTTTTCTACTTTTTCTGCTGTTTCTAATTTGTCTAATTTGTCTGAATTGCCTGATATGTCTGATTTGTCGGTTGCTGTGATCGTGCTGGTGCTATCGGGTCTCAGTAGCGCTATGAGAGCTGGGGGGAATACAATGGTTGCTGCCTTGCGAGGATCTTTGGCATCATTCGCCGTTGAGATGATCTGTGTGCGGGTGTATGGATAAATTATCATGACCATACGGTATTTAATCAATACGATAGGCTAGGGTTCTATACAATCCCATGGAGATCTGTGTCCAGGGGTTGCATACATTTCCAAACCCAAAAAGGACTGATGATTATTTCCGGTCTCTTATAAGTATGCAACAGCTTATGTGAATGCTGCCTATAATAAAGTAAATATACAATTGTATTGAAAACACAGATACATGTGACAAAAAAAACTATATCAATAACATCATAATGAACTCAGGCAATCCATTGCCGTGATAATGATATGTGGTCATAGAAATTGCAGGCAAGTGATAGCCGACTGAACTCAATCGGTGTAGTATATACAGACTCGTTCATATTAAATAGAAATGTTTGGGAACTGAGTCAAACAATGTACATGTCCCAGGTAGTGCAGGTTTTCAATTGTGAGAGTACCGGGTTCTCTAACTAATGATGCAAATACGAGACGCTGATAACAACATGCGCAGTGTGGTACATGCCGTGGAGTCGACCGGTACGCACATCATATAACACAAGCAATACAACAGACTAAACCACCGAGATCATTGTAATAAATCCAACTCAACTAATTCCCCCTCCCCCAATCCAACCTCTTATATAACACAAGCAATACAACAGACTAAACCACGGAGTTCATTATAATACATCCAACTCGACAAATACCCCCCCCTCCTCCCCACCCACCAACCCCTTATTGTTCACGTACTAGTTTACAATTCTTCTCCAGCTCGTCTGGCTCAAAGGTGAAGTCTGGCGGTGCCTGGGCCGGCAGCTTAGGTAGGGTCAGCAGCACTAACTCACGCAACATGCCTGGCTCTAGCGCCATGGGCAGAGTGAGCGATGTCAGTTTGGCTTCGGCCAATGGAATCTCGTCCTGTGCACCGTACAGTGGCAGTGTTCGCGTGGCGGTGTGTGTGTGGGTGAACAATGCGATTGACTGAAAGCGCGATTAACCGCGACAACCACGACATCATTTAATAAAGGATGCATCGGACGCTCCATATACAAGCTTAGTGTGCGCATGACTGTGTACAGCAGATCGGCTAGATTTCAACACCGCGTGCGTACATTTGCTTGCATCACTTCTGTGTCCACAGAGTGAAGGAGTAAGCTGTAGAGGCGTCAATACATACATCACCGCACGCAGATACTCAGACACACACTCACTGACCCACATTAAAAGTCAGTCCACACCGCAAGACTTTCAGTCAGCCGCCACACATCATTGCTTACCAATAGCCGTGCCAGTAGCAGTTCGCGTTCACTTAAGACCTTCTTCTTCTGGATCCCCTGGTCTATCACCTGGCTAATTTTTGGTTTCTTCACATGGCGTGAGTCGGCTATTGCGTGGCCCTCGTTGGCTGTAACACCCGTATCACTGTAGTCTCGTTTAACGCCGCGTTCTGATTGGCTGACCCGTGGATCGCTGGCCGATGGCACATTCTGATTGACTGTTGTGTTCGGGTCGAATATGGAGGCGTTGTCCGTGGTGGTAGTCATGCGCAGATTTTCGGCCATTGTCTGTCTGTATAGCCTCTCAACGTCATTCTGAGGAAGATATAAATTCAAGGGTTCACTATGAGCCGAGAATTTGGATTTTGGTACTATATCTAACTATATCTACGTGTGGTACTGCATCTACGTGATTTTACACACATGTGTGCGTAATTTGCCACAGCGGACATGTATGCGAGTACAGTCTGGCTGTCTCTCTTCAGAAGTACGTAAGATCTGAAATGACCAGAGGTTGAAACGATACTAATGTGTTTGATGTGTAGCTGTGTGTATCCATGAGTACTAAACAGAGATACCATGACTGTTGTGACGCTGATACTGTTTTGACACTTATACTGCCTTGAATTGTCATTATTTTGACACCGGTTTGACACACCTTCTTGGTACTGAGCTTGTTGACCAGCACTCGGGCCATGCGCTCGGGGGCTTCGGCATTAACTGCGGCCGTAGGATGACGCAACAATCCCATCAGCTGTGCAATGGGAGTGAACATATTACATTTATACATGTTGGACATATGACACCAGCCGCCCAAGTCAAGTAGATTATCATATGGGTATATTGTGAAGTGAATCCATGCAATGAGACCATCATATCAATGCACCACCAGCTGTGCAAGTGGAGCAAAAACCTAAAACCCATTGTGAACAAGTGTTACGAGTGAATCATACCCATTCACTACCAAGCGCACCAATACAATGCAGTACTGGGTGATTGAGGGGCGTGATGAGTGTTCCGTACTAACACACAGTCAAAACTATACAAGTAAATGGTGAACAAATGTTGTGAGCATCATATACCAACACACCATACACAGACCATATCAATACATGTTCAACATATGTTAGAAGCAGGTCATACTGATACACTACGGGCAAAGTAGTATATAATGATTCGCGGGTGACTGATAGTTATATTTAAGACTACTTAGAAACCTACCAAGTGTTTATCAGATACAGAACCACGTACTATATAGATAGCACGAGCCGGTCAGAACGGCTACGAAAAACCAGCTATCAAAGAATCATTCGTGTCTCATACAAATGCAAGATATATATATATATATATATATATAAATATAAAGATAGAAGGATAAGGATAAGGTATATATATATATATATATATATATATAGTCACTATAAAAAGCATATTGTATGGATTGGACAGCAGTCGACAACACGATACACAACTTAAAGTAATAATATGTACATAAACAGTACTAGGTGACTGGCCAACAACTACAAGCAGCTGACAGATTGCTTAGCAAGCAACTACTGCATCTAAATTTATACACATATGCTTTGCACCCGTCCTCAGAACAAACAACAGCCTATAGCTCTACACACCTGTGTCTTCAGCGCCTTTGCGAGACTCTCCCGTTGGGACTCCGTGATGTGCGGCTTGGTTGCTAGGGCGTCGGCCTGATCACACAGCCCTACAAAGTTAAATCAGCTGCAGTGATGAGGCGCAGATAAGTAGCAACGTAGGGGAAATCAGGTGATGCGGTCTAGAAGAATAAGGACACCGATGCGTGCATGTGTACTGTGGGTCCTCCCTTACTAGCTATTATCGCCTGTATGTTTGCCCTTGCACTGTACAATGATATGGTATAAGTATTGTTTTTGAGAGGTTGCTCCTTGTGAATCCATGCGACAATGTACCAAAGCAGGATAACCTTAAAATCTATTCTATACAGCTCTTCCTCGTACGCACTTGACCCGTACATATTAGCAGAAAGGTATTTCATTGTGAATATACAGGCAGGTGCCTTGAATTGATATGTTCGTATATGTGTATCAACCAAGGTGTGCATTCGTGCCAGCCGGTGTGTGTATGAATAAAAATCTCTGCTGATCTATCCCCATGAGGATTACTTCCAATTTCTCCATCCCATCCCGTTCGTGAAAAAAAAATCATACATCCAAACATACACGCACACGCACGCACGCACACACACATATATATATATGCACGCATACACACACACACACACACACATATATATATATATATATATCTATATATATATATGTATGTATGTATAAATTATGTAGGTATATATATATAGATGTATATGTATTTGCATTTTATATGTATATATATGATAATATAATAATAAGCAATATATATATATATATATGTTGGTATATAATTTCATAATATATATAATATATAAGAATATATATATATATATAATTATACATATATATTTATAACTATAACTATAACTATATTTTTATACATATATATATATATATATATATGTATAAATCTAAGCACAACGCGTAATCTTGCACATCGATCGTCGAACACATCGAGTCCACACACCGTTGACTATGTAGGCAAAGTGTTGCTCTGGGCGTTGCCTGGCAATGGACCCAAGTACTGCAACGACCACTACCAAGTATCCCGTATTGGGCTCTAAAAGTGCAAAAGGGAAAAAAAATTTAAAGTACAATGAGTTTAAGTCAATCAAGAGTGAGTGATATGCGCGTGGAGAACACAGAACAATATAAGAATGTGCTGGTAAATACGGTGAGCTGGTTCAAATTTTACATACCACACAGGGCATGTTGTGAAGCTATGTTAGATGCGGTCAAGCTGTTTGCTTGAAATGTCTAATATGTAGTGCGTGTAAATGTAGTAATGATAAACGACAGGGCGGCACTCAATATATCCTTTAACTAGTACCGCATCCGTTAAAGTAAACATTTTGACTAAGTTTGATACAGTCAATGATAGCGTATATATCGGATAATTTAGATCTATAAAAGTACCAATCAGCCGCTATTTATATATTGACATACACACACACACATATATATATATATATATATATACATACATATACATATAAATATATATATATATATATATATATATATATATATATATATATATATATATATATATATATAATATATATATATACATAGTATATATACATATATAATATATATATATATATATATATATATATATATGAGTGGGTGTATGTATGTGTGTTGATACACGCACATATAAAAACTGATACATCTCATCAAAATGAACTCTGCAAGCATAGCTGCCTGTGCGTACAAATTTGCCCACCTGTCTGGAAGGTGGACATTAGCAGTTCCACCAGATGGCCTGCCTCCTGAGTGAGCTCATCCGCTTCCAGTACAGTATGTCTCTCGGGAATACGGTCTACAGACGGTGTCTGGTGTTTGTGCTTGTTCTCCGAGTCGGCGTTCTTGCGCGAGTATAGCAGCACAATCACCTCCACAAACTTCACCTGCAACAGAAAGTAAGAGTGAATATGGAGGTTTTCAATAGGGGGTTTGATAAAGCCTAGCAATACTCGATCCACTCTGTTAAATTTAATCATAGAAAGTTATAAGAATACGTTGCTGCGCAAAATGGGAGTTGCTGGGTGTTTTAGGGATTCTAACCACTTCAAAAATGAAGTGAAATCCTTTTGACAGATTCTTTGTGTATGATTTGTGAAATCTTTTTAACAGATTCTTTGTCTGTGATTTCTATTCACGTACACGTGTTGCCACATTCGGCTTTGGAACATATATTTGTTTCAAGTGGACATATTTATTTAATCCGAGTGAGCCCATGTACATATAAACAATTTCGACAGTATAGAGCTTCATATGCTCGTGATCATCTGTATTTATTCGAAAACTCAAACCTTCTCAAACACACATTTGAGTAGATTGATGTAATTCCAGTGATCGATGATAAGGTTTCCTCTCAACTGAACCGAAAAAAAACTTATGTATATATATATTCATATATATATATATAAACACACACACACGCACACACACAAATGTATATATGTATATATATATATACATATACTTCAAATATAGATTTAGATATACAAATAGATAAAAAAATACATATATAAATAGAATAGATACACTTATACATAGATCTAGATTATATATATATATAAATTGATATGTATATATATATATATCATATATATATATGTGTATGTGTGTGTGTGCGTGTGGATAGGAGTAGGCCAGGGGGGGAGGTTGTTTTGTGGTCATATAACTTAACAGATCTGTACATAGTGATCACAAACTTGATAATATTGCTGATCACAGAAATTCATATATATATAAATAGGTATGTACTAAACTCTACAAATTTATTTAAGATAGTGGTAAAGCATGATCTTAGAGGTGACATAAAATACAAATAATATATCACAAGCCTCTCTCAAAAGGTCCTATCATTGTAGACACACGCATACCGCCGTGCTCTTGAAGCCGATGTTGTCAGTTGTTGTGAGACGTTCGCAGATGATGTCCTTCATGGCCACCAACTGGTCCCACAAATCTCTGCTCGCTTCCGCCTTCTCCATCTGCACAGACACGACATAGCACACATCAGGAACATGTTAAAAATCAGCTGCATGTTGGTTAAAATTCTACACCAGAATTAGATACATGTTGGAATGGAATCCTAGAACAGAATTAGTTGCATGTTAAATCCTATAATAAAACTAGTTATATGTTAATCACTACAACAAAATTAGTTGCATGTGAAGCCATATCCGACTACGCCGCAAAATTAATAAAATTAAGTACTAGATACAAAGTGAAGATAGTTTGGGTTGATATCTGACTGAATCGTAGCCGAGTTTGTGGAATTGCACCCCAAAACTGATCCAGTTTTTTAAAGTTCGCGCCGAATGTGTGTGAAATGTTTGTTGTACGATATTTTACTACAAGTATCTGAATGCACTACGATACTTGAGTAATCGTAGACAATGGCTCATACTAACACCGCACACACGCATGTATACACGACCATCATACGTGTGCATATATACACATGCATACGCAACGCGCATGCGCCTACACATACGAATACACTAAGCGTACGTGTAGATGCTCACATACAAGAGCATTGTACACCTTCACATACATACATACACGCACAACATACGTGTAGTTACGTCTACTGGACATAAATACATATACACCCGTCAAAAAACGCGCATATATATGCTTATATGTCCATCATACGTGTACATAAACACACATACGCGCCAGTATACACACAATCACCTACCGACACCCTGCACATCCACGAGAAGACCATCTGGTGTAGCGTAGCATTGCATGTGATCGCTCGTTTGACCACCTGAGGTGCATCGTCGTGTAAGCGGTATTCAAGCACTTCCAATGTGTCTGGTAAAGCCTCTTCCATGGAAATCTTGCTGTGAATGGGTGGTGTAGAGGTGTTGGTATGTGGGCATGCGAGTCAAAGGGTGTGTGTACATGTGTGTGGGCGTGGGAGGGTGCTTTGCTTATGTTTCGAGATTCATTGATTCATACGTGTAGTTTCAGTCACATGCCGGTATATAACCGATGCACACGATACATCACTCACCGAATGCTCCGCCAAGCAAAGTACGTTTGCGAATCACAGCTGCACTGTCGACACGAATGCACACAGTCACACGGACACCAGTCATACATTATCAATAGATGTTCTTGGTTGTGGACAAAAGATCACTTGCTCAAATACAATACAAATATGCCATATTTGGGCCGACGGGCATGTAATTTTTCCATATCATCATATGTTCAAATTTATCAGAGAACTTTGTGCGACACCCATATCTTCATATATAAACGGATTGGCAGGACTGTCCACCTCGGAGTGCTACCAAATGTATCCTCACTATAAACGTATCCTGTGCCACTGCGTCTACAGTCAATTGCTCGGCTTGAATGTGCGGCATGATGAGCCTGACACTCAAATCAGCCTACAAAGCCAAGTAGACGTGCGTACTATAACCCTTATGCATATGCCTCCTTTCTATACACCACAAGCGCAATTGTCCTGGGACCGGTTTTGCGTTTTAAAGTTCTTTAATAGCTTTTATCGACACTCTAGGTGTTCACCTTTTTGCCGTCTTACGATCTTCTGGAAAAGTGGTGAGGTTTGTGCACTTGAGAGACTCACAGATTCCTCAGTCTTGGGCAACAAGCCACACACCATCAAGGTTAAGTGGTATATATAGCTAGTGCTCATACTACTTTCAATGAAATAGATATACACATACAACGGCAACACTACAGAAGTCTGACATGCACACAACATACCTGTTCTTAGAATGAAACTAATTGGAGAAACTATAGACCTTCAGTGCATACTATACCATTTTACTGACCACGTGCTACACGTTGCAAAATGGCAGGTACTCCGATTTCAAAACCTTAAACCCTAAATTGGTTTTCCACATTGCATGGATACACTAACTGTGTTTGCAAAGATGTGTACTTGTAATGATATGTGCACTATTGCCAAATAATGTATAGTGCAATGACATTGAGCATTTCCATCGAACAAATGTGATACGGTAATAGCACTAAAACAATATATCACTACTAGAATGGTTTTTCCACAGAATATTGTATCATAACACCACAATGTTTTAAATGCTCCAAACAATTAAATAATGTTGAGCAATCCTAATACTTCCAAATACTTAATGTGATGCGTACAGAACTAATGTTTAGGACATCGTATTGATTCTCAAAATTCACGATAAACTAAGTCTTGTCTGTATTCCGTTATATATACTTAGTATCCTACATATGAACTTGAATACAACTACAGCACCCTATACACTACTGTATGTAGACCAAATAATTTGGACAGCAAATATGAACCATTCTTAATTCCCATACCTGGATGTCATAAATCTAGATTTTGACAAAATTGAACTCCTAATGTTTTGAAAGTCTATCGAGTTGAATCCCATGTAATATTGGCTGTGAACCCAATCAGCGTGACTGTGTATTTATTCGAATCTCAGCACACTCAGCAAGCACGTGCCGTTTTAGATAGTTTCCAGTGCACTATGAAGACTACTAAATAATAACCTATCCGAATTAAAGTATTTTTCGCCACAATATGTGCTATATAATGCAAATTGTCATTTCAGAATAGAAGCATGTAGTAACTTCGCTGATGTATTATTGCACACCAAATAAGCTACTATAAACTCGGCAATGTTGCTAACCGATACATGAATTACAAACGACGTGTATGGTGAACCACACTACACACATGCAACTCACACTCCAACGAATATTATCAATGCCAAAAGCGGCCTGACAGAAAATATAAATCCGTCAGGTTCGGCCGCTTGCGTACCATCCTTGAAGACTCGCGACTAGATCACGTCCACTATACTTAGGATTGTTCCGACAGTCACCGCTATCAAACGGTATATTTTATACCAAATACTTCACATACATCTTAATCTATAACACACTATAACTTTATCTTACATGATTGCTTTTGGTCATTACTTGTAATTCTAGATATATTCGAACCATCCACACTCCGTTATACCACTACATGCTTAGTCTGACTATTTGCTTGTGATTCACGATCTACTGAAACAGGTTTGTTGTATGAGTTTGCGACATAATACTACCACACTGGACTTCGAACTGCACACCCTTTATTAAAAAGAATGCTCTGAAACCATATCACTACTACGACCTTCCAGTTTTTAACTCGAACACTACCTATATATATATATATATATATATATAGTTCACATTCATAAACACTCCCATTTATATATATATATACATATATATATATATATCTAGTTCACATTCATAAACAGACCCAAATATAATATATATATAT